GCTCCGGAGTGGTGCACGGGCTCTTTATACTACTTTCAGTTACGTTTTTTCTTATTTCTTTCTCGTTACCTTCAAAGGAAGCTTATAATATCCGGTAAAAAAATATTATTACATTCTGGACGAACCTGCGATAACATGAACCTATTGACATTACATGCTTCGATTTTCATCCAATATTGGTAATTTCGAAATGAATCGTATCAGAATTAATACTATTCGTTAAATTAAATTCAAACAATTTTTTTTGTAATTCTGTCAGTGATTCGACAAACTAGGTTACCTAATCTAGCCAATAATTGGAAACAATCAATTAAGAGAACAACAAATTTTTGTTTTACGTTTAATCACTAATTTTCACTCATCGAATAATTATATTTATCTCGTGTGCAATCATTACTTCTACCGTCAATTATTGCACAATAATTACAACTCGAATGTACACATCATTATTATTATTATTCTTTATGGCGTTTCGTAATAATTAAACTCTACGCATTAATTGCAAAAGATATACTAATATTGCTAATGATTAAAACCGAATTAATTATCATCAATTTAATTGCTAGGAAATTTAAGTGAACTGTATGCAGTTCATTTGACGATTCGCTTGAGTATACTTGAAAAAAACGGTTAATTAAAAAATGAAAAATTACGTTGTTTCAGACGATTTGTTTCGTTTGGATACCCAAATCGTTTGTACAACATCGACAACGATATTAACAAGGGGTCAGCGGATTTCGGAATACTTTCGTAGTAGTTCGTCCAGAAAGAAATATAGCATTCAGTATATAAATATAATGAGTTATAAACACAACAGTACCTTGCACTTGTCACTCAGTTTGAGCGCAAGCGACCTGGTGGCTGGTGTTCCATCGTCGTGTGGCGACAGAGAGAGAGACTCACGCATGTGAACACACGAGTACGAGTACTGAACAAGTATCCAAAGCTGCTCTGAAAAGATTTCATTCCATTCCGAATATCGTTCACAATGTATCTTCTTTTTTCTTTTCCTCGTTAATGACTGTGCAAAATCAGGCTACATAGATTCTACTATAAACTGTTGATATCTCAGTATATATTATTCGATATTCGGAGGAAAAATTTTCCAGACAAAAATTGCGTAGTTGAAACGTATATCTATATAAAATGTTTGAAATGAAATTAAAATTAAATCTGAAGCATATTAAAAGCTATAATACTTCGTTTTTTTTTATATAAGAATACTCCTGCACTTAAAAATAAAAAAAACTGAGAATTATGTTAATACACACATGATAATCGTAATAATCGTTAGAAGTAATAATTGATTTGATTCTGTTTCCTTGAAATGATCGTGAAACGACAAGTTACGCATAATACAGAAATAGTTCTTAATAAGTAAACTATGTAAGAACAATTTATTAACATTATTTGGCTCATTGTGCGTTCTTATCTGAACCGTGCAACTATTCTCTGAAACATTTTTCTGCAATCCAGTTGAGAGTTTTCGTTTCAATGCAAACAAAAGCAGGAAAAACTAAAAAAATAGTTCGAATTGTTTATATACGTGATTGAATGCGTTGGCGAACAATCCAACTTCCTAATTTCTCTACAAAGACTCCCAGATAAAATTACTTCAGAACTTTATAATTGGGTACGTTTCAATTAAATGAATTCAATTGAAAGAATCCAATATACCAGGAGCTTTTTTTCTTTTGAAAATAAAAAAAAAGAACATAAGACAATTCCGGGAGCCAAGCGGAATGAAAGGCTATGATTCTGCTTACGAAGAAAGATGTTATATAGAAAATATTTATTTTTCGTTTGTTTGATTGAGCTACGCCGAACAACGGCGCTATATATACTCTCGCTGTCTATTTCACTTTCTTTCACTCCCTCTCTCTCTCTCTCTCTCTCTCTCTCTCTCTCTCATTCTTTC